GGGTAGAAACTCCAATGCCATATGCAGAGCTAAAAAAAAAAAAAAAAAAAAAAAAAAAAAAAAAAAAAAAAAAAAAAAAAAAAAAAAAAATTTAAAAAAAATAATTATACATCGTCAGCGACAGGATTCGAACCTGTGCACGCGAACGTATCAGATTTCGAGTCTGACGCCTTAACCACTCGGCCACACTGACTAATATGCTATCATCTTGACTTTGATTTGCTCCTATATAGCTAAGCGTAGCCTCGGAGTTCCATCATCCATTATGCTGCCATGCTAACTATCGTCATAAGAATATCTTTCTCCTCTTTGGGCGGCCCACCTGCTGTCGGTAGGCCAATAGCTGAGAGATATACTAAATATAGTAAGTACTAATTGTATATATAATCCCTCTGATGGTCCTACTGGTAGTACGTCTAGGTCTAGCAACACCTACAATACTACGTATTACTACCTGCCTCAATACCAGTAAAAGTCCTCCAGGTCTTTGACTGAAATATATCAGGCATTAGTAATGGCAGTACTAGCCATTGAAGGAGCAGAGTCGTCTAATCAGGATCTCACAGTTGGATAGTACATTGAAAATTTTATTGGTCCTGTACTTCTATACCTTTATCCGATTCTGGTTTCTGTATAGCTCAGACAGATACCAGAATCCTTAGATATCCTTTCGCTTACGGGACATTACCACTCCATTGTCATTTGTAAATGCACCCCCAATAAAACTCTTCAATGCCGGGTAAGCTGCAAGTATCCTGGTATTTCGGTGATCAATGTCGATGAAGCGCCGAGGACGAGTATATATCTCAAGAAGCTGGTCACCATTAAGCTCATCCACAAGTGTATTTGCTTTGCAGCACGACTGCCAGCTTTTATGGCTTGCATATCGGACAAAGGTCTCTTGACCATCAGATTCCTTTACTGAAATGCGGAATGCCAGTCGAGCTCCGGGGTCCCCATCCCTGATATCTTGCGCCCAGACATTGGGGTTTCTAACACCAGGTGGGGAAAGTTCAGCCTTGACCCAGAATCCTCCCTAGTGGTTCTCCCTGGTCGCGTTTATGTAGATCTTGGTATGCTGGATGTCCACACTATAATGGCCTGGAGCTCGCTCACGGCCTTGATACCAGCAGCCCAAGGCCAGACACAACCGGTTCTTGAAATTGCCAATTCGCGTGTTTGCAGCTAGCTTTGGTTCCGGAATTTCAGTATATTCTCGGTCTGAATCTTCATCATCCAGCATAACTCCACACATAGCTGCTTCATGGATGGCATGCTCATCAGCCGCATTGTACTCACCAGTCACTTTGTGCTCTTTAGGTGTTGAGCTCCCGGGATGAAGTTCTAGATAAAGTGATTTGACTGCGCTTAGGATGTTTCTGTATATAGTGCCACGTCGCTTGGCTTTTGAATCAGGGATTCGGCGTACATCAGTTGACCTTACTTGTCTGGGAACAACAAGGCTAAGGACGAGAAGACCGTAGCGCAAAGAGCCCCCAGCAGACTGTTCAAGTCGACGAATCTGCTCCTCAGTCTCGAAACCATTCTTTGCCAACCAAGCTTGCAGGAGGGGCTCGAGATTTGCCGGGGCTATTTTCTCAATTTTTTGATTGTTTTCATCGTCCCAGTTCCGAGTTATCAGAGCAAGCGAAACAGCTGACTCATAAAAGCCCTGTCTAAGCTTCTTGCCGGTTATATCGGAAACAAATCGAAATAATGTCCCTAACTGACATGCCTCTCTGGCTTTGGTAGCCCAAAGGCCGCCGAGAGGAGCAGGCGAGCGAATAAAAGTTCGGTTAATCCTAGACTCTTCGATATCAAGCCATACTTCATACTCAAAATCATGTAGTTTCAGAATAAAACTCCTGAGGCGTATATTGGCCGGCATTGCTATTTTCTCCGAATTATGGCCACATAGCAAGATCACCCGCATCTGGCTTCCACAGATGAGCCGCCAGGTGTGTGCAGAGAGCATATGTTCATCAGCAATATGAAGTGGAGCTGCCTGAAATGTACCGGAGATGTATGTAAATTTCTGGAGATTGAAGGACCAGATCAACGAGTTTGTTTCGGTGAAGCCGCTCTCATGCAACCCCCATGGAAGATTAGGCCGGCCATCCCCATATGCACACGACGGTGCATGATCTAGGATGATACCGATCGGGGCTCGAGTGCTGCCAAAAGGACTTTCAAGGTCAGCCTGTGTCAAATTGCCCTGCTGCAATATGCTAGCCGATACCGATTCGAACCAAGAGCTGAGATCTATGGGCTCCTCTTCCTGTATTCTCCATATGCTATCCTCAGGTTGCGGCAAGTGGGGGTTTTCCAGCTCAGTATTTGTTTCTATGGCGTCCCATAATGCTGCAAGATGATCGAATGGGGTCATGCTGTTCCAGAACGACGATTTAACGCTCTTATGGGACTGCTGGCTATCTTGGTCCCGCTGAGCCTTTAAACTACTTCGGAAGCTTGGCCATTTCTTGATTTCCGGATCGGGAGACTCTTCCAGTAAGCACACGGCCTGATCACGAACAGTATATCCCAGCTCCCTGCCTTGAAAAAGAGGCGAAACAACATTTAATCCAATGCCGGGGTACTTTCCATTCTCAGGCGGGCCAAAAACCTGCTCCAGCGTCCGAGCAGGCAGAGACTGAAAAGCGAGACACATGACCTTTTCAAGAAATATATATATGATAAATATGTACAACTTACCAAGCGTGCTAGTCAGTGTGGCCGAGTGGTTAAGGCGTCAGACTCGAAATCTGATACGTTCGCGTGCACAGGTTCGAATCCTGTCGCTGACGATGTATAATTAATTTTTTTTTTTTTTTTTTTTTTTTTTTTTTTTTTTTTTTTTTTTTTTTTTTTTTTTTTTTTTTTTTTTTTTTTTTT